CTGTTTTCTGGGATATTCGCACCGCGACAACTCTTAGGAACATTTCAATATCTCAATGGCGCTTAAGACCCTTATTTCAATCCAGGCTGTCGCTTGACTTCACATTCAAACATCGTATGACACCGAGGTGTGCCGAACGGTTCGACTGCGCTCAACGATGCGCACTTCCCATTGGGAGCGCTATCGCCTTCGGCGGCATTTTCGCCTCCATTCCTCCACTAATTCGTTCTGAACCGGGCGTAAGATGGATTTCCAGCAGTGGGAAAGTCGCAATTTGGCTAGATCCATATTGGCGCAATTATACAGCAGAGTGATACACCGTTATGAAGAGGTCAGTGAAGAGGTCGCTTTCAAGTTCGCAATTTGAAAGGTTCATATCGTAGAGGTATTTCCTCGATTGCAGGACGTTAAGAAGGCAGAAAGGAACCGCTCACAGCCTAATCATGCCGAGTTGCCGAGAAATCCTTCCGATGCAGCTTTGAGGTACAATTCATCCCACTTGGTCGTCACCATGACCGAAGTTCTTTATCTGCTACACCTTCAGACCTTTGAACCAATTCCGTTGATTCATTTCAGCACAGACTTTCGTAATCTCTCGTTCTGCTTTTTTCTCTTCCGTACTCTTATCGTTTTCCTCTTTTATGTCGCTCTTTCACTGCGGACACATTTTAAGGTCTCCTTGTTTTCGGTTGGCTCTTCTTACCGTTTTCTCTGTAGCACACCATGAGGTCTTTCCTCTTCTCCTGAGCTTCATTTCCTCAAGGTTTACTGATGTGAGGTTCTCGTACTTGATCAACTACTACGGAATGTATTTTAGTATTGATTTAATGACTAGTGGGAGCTGCCAGTGACCTCCCACCCTTAAACTCTTCGTGATTGTTTTGCTAGCGCCGAAAATTTCGAGGTTTTCTTTTGGGTGCGTTTTCGAACCCCTCAGGACATCCCCGTAGCGCTGCAACCGTTCAAGTACCTGGACAGGTCCAGTCATCTGCGTTCCTATCCTCATGTTTTCGTTCAGATGTTATTTGGTCGTGTCACGGTGAAACGTTGAGTTGTGCAGAGCAAGAGTTCAAATGTTAACCGCACACTGTTAACAACCGCCGCCGCCCCGGCCCCGTCCCCTGGTAGTCAAAATCTGGTACATCTAGGCATGTAACATCCATTTCGATGGGAAATAAATTTGGGTGAGCGGGGTGGATGGGGGCTTAAGCTTTCACACGAAAATGTGGCTTGTGCAACCCGCGATCCCTGGCTCAGATATTTTTGCTTATCATCGGATCCCGCTGCACCAAGTGAATTAGAAGCCGTATAATCTACTCATGGTCAGTGGATAAGTATACTTTGCTTCCAAAACAGATGTGCGTGCGAGCGAGTGCAGACCATCCACCACAAGTGACGACGGCCTCCAAACAAATCTGATCACAAGTGGTTCGTAGTGATAGCGGATAGTTTTTAAATGATATCTAAATTAGTGGCAATCGATCGGCTAATCACTTCATTGGCAGAGAATATCTATATTTTGTGAGACCGTCGTCATTTGTGGTGTGTGGTCTGCATCCCGACGAGCATCATGTTTTCGGAAGCAGATGTGTACTTGTTCCGGCGTTATAACATCATATCGCGAACATTGATATGGGCAAAAGATCTGGCTATCCATTTTTAGCAGTTGGTTTCTTCATCAGCCCTAACCCCAGTGTTATTTTGCGAACGGACAGAAACAGTGAAACATGACTGCAAATCGACACACCAAGTTGCTGTTTCTTAAAGGCATGCCCCAGGATCGCACTGGTGTGGCTCTTGCACACGAATGTGAATGTATCGGTGCCAAGTGGGCCGGCAGTGAAGAAAAAGGAAAAGAATCCGTCGAAAACGCTCAGGTTGAGGGCTCACTCACCTTCCTAATTGGCTGTGCTAAAGGAACGAGAGACTAAGCGCGAAGAGGAGAGTATGGGGCGAGAGAGCGCATCAGATGAGAGAGCACCAGACAACGGCCTGATAAGAGAGCTCGTTCGCTGCAGCTCGAGCAGCTTACTTTGCAAGCCCAAAGCGTTCTTGTCGGTCGAATTCCGTGCACGTGAACGCCACATTTGTGATTGTCCCCTAGGGTTCTATACTTCTGACCGAAGAGAAGAGTTCACACGACCTCTGCCTGGGTTGTGCCTTTAAAGGAGTTCCGGACATCAGCTCTTGTGTTTCCTATTCTTCCATTGCTTCACTTTTTTCTCTCCCACTCCCTGAATCCTCTAAATGCATTGAAAAATTTATTTCAGCAGCTCTATCCATCGCCGCTTTGATCGCCGAATGAGCCGCTCATATTCGATTGGAACTTTGCTAGATGATGAAGAAGGTGCTCCCAACGGTCTAATGTTCCCATCTCTGAAGTACACTGCACCTAGTCGACGATGTTCCGTCGACGACTCCATCGCTTTTCTGCCGGATTCCCCAGAATCGTCCGATTCACAAGCTTCTCTTCGTCGAACTCAGTCCACTGCAGCACTGGGATCAACGTACTCTTTGACAGCAGAGCGCCCATTATGGTTTGGTCCGTCTTCTGTGGCGTACTACAGGTATGTCTTATAAGTCCCACAACTTGGCTATGACGAAAACGTAATGATCAAAGCAACACCCCCGGGATGACCCTATTAGGAAGCACACCGCGAGGGAAATTGTAAGGTCCGTACCTACCTAGATCACTCCAGCTTCGCCGCAAAAGTTGCGCGGATTAGGGCGCTAATCCTTACGGAGCCTGCAACCATCGACCCCCGTTGCAACGCTTCCCACCCACCTCGATATCGGCGTGCTCTCTCGAACGGCGTGATCTCTCGCGTGTTTTGTCTTCTTTGACCGCCCTGCCTCGCCATCGTTCCACATCCGACCTTTTTGAAGGTTAAGGCCTTAATTTCAGCGATCCCAAAGATTTCTCTAGCTTTCCTTTCCACTTTCAGGCCGTCCCGCAGCTCAGTCATCACTACGAAGCGCTCTTATCACCGGTTTTATCCCGGGCTTGCCTTTATGAATCGTGGTGATATTTGAGTGGGCGCTCGACTTCCGAAATTTCAAGATAATAGCCCGTGTTCAGTTTTACTCTTTTTTCCTCCTAAGAGAAGAAAAAGAGTAATACTGAACAGACTTTTTTCTCATTGTCAGCTTTTCCCTCCTCTCTCCTTTTTTGGCTAGCATCAAGCAATAGATCTAGGAACAGTGCGGAAGGAGGAGAGGAGGGGTAGGGTCAGGTGATTCGAACAAAGTTGACTGCACAGGGGGCGTAGATGCGGCGGAAGTGACGCGACGCATGCTGCACTCGCTTTGGGATATGTCATATTGTCCAATCATGCTGTATCAGTTCACGTTTGAGTGTCTTGACGATAGTTTTGTACTGTGGGTCGAGAGTG